TCTTTTTGCTGTTTATGCACCTGCCAGGGAGATTTCCAATGTCCTCAGTACTCACAGAATCACCTACCCAAAATAAGTATTCACACATACTTGTTCTAGGTCAGTGAGTTTTAAAGACACACAGATGGGAAACCAGTATTGCTAGAAGGATGGTAAAAGAGTGGCAAGAACTTTCCTAGCTAAATTGTCATTCCAGTCCTGTAAAATCTGAAATAGTGTCACTCCATCCCACCTGTTCCCCCTTTAAGTGCACCCAAACCAACTAATCACTTATGTCAGCAGAATAACACTGAACAGTAGATTTTGATGCAATGGAGATAATTTATAAAAGTTCCATCTGGCTATGCAGTTCGCACGACACAAGCTCACTTAGATGGCACTGATATAGGAATTCCTATACTTGTCAGCGCCATTTAGAGATGTTAGTGCCGCACGATCAGCATATGGATGGGCCAAATATTTATAAATGAACACTAATGTGTCTCATGTACTAAAGAGAAAGGTAAGATAAAGTGCAGTGAAGTGGACCTACAGTAAGTCAGCTTTAAATGTCCGGTTATGGACACAGAAAACTAATTTTTTTTCTGAAAGAGATATTAAACCCTATTTTAAAAAAAATCAGCACTGAGCTTTTTTTTCTTTCAACCGCCCCATTTCATTTATAATTTGGAGGTTTCAGACCACAGCCCCTCCTCTTCTGTTTACAAGTGTCTTATTTGGCTAGCAGGTTGCAAAGGAGACACCTGTACATGTGCGCTCCTGGCTGAGAACTAAGCCAAGCTGTTTGCGTCCACTGGAACACACAGCGTTTGACAGGCCATGTCATACTCCCTCCTTCTCCCTCCTCACAGTAGATTGACAGGCAATTCACCTATAGTGAATGTTTGGTGAATGTCACATTCGCAGCTTTAATATATGTTACTCACTGTTATCGTGCTTCAGTTTTAAGTATATTTCATGCACATTTTTCACTTGCTCTTTATACTCTATTACCATAAAATGTAAATGTTGTCCAGAATTATGTTTAATGGATCTCATGAATATTCATCTACTACTTCTTTGTTGTACTAATATTATGTTTGCATTGCAGGGTATCGGAATTATTGTAATTTCTTAATTGTTGAAGCCGCCGAATGTCATCCAGTGGTTAGAGCATTTTGCCTACTCATGAAACCTCCAAGGTGGAAGCAACCTGATTTGGAAGAAGGTGAGTCAGTTCTGCCTCATCTGTCATCTTCCATACGGGCATGATACAGCGTTTCCTACAATATCTGATACTTCTGACACCATGTATTCATTCCACTAGTTTTATTATTTTTTATTGTTTCAGCTTTATGAAACATATTATTTATGAAAAAGCCATTCAGAGAACATGACGTCCTTGTCACAGGATATTGTACAAAATATGCTTTACTATTTAGCATTTTATTTATACTTTAGCAGTATAGATAGAATTAGTGCAATGGTCCTACTTCTCAACGCTGACATTATGTCTCCATAATCTGATCAAGAAAACTGATGGACCATTTAGAAAACACTTACTCGGTGAACCAAAGAGAAACTCTATTTAATAATTTCTCAGTCATCTCAGCTAGCTATGGAACACAAAATATTAGTAGCATGTAGATGCATGTTGAAGGAGGTAGTAAACCGGAATCTCACTCTTTTTATGTGGGTTTTTATTTGGGGTGACATAGTTAGATACAATTTTATGAAAGCATTTACATTATTTAATAAGGTGTTTTGCTGCATTTAAATCAATATTAATATGCATTTTATAGGAAGCACAGTACTGTATCATTTTACAGTACAGGTACAACACATTGCACATAGACACATAACGTTGTTAAGGACTCCAACATTTATTCTGTAATAGAGTGCATAGTGTAATGCTCATGTGAATAAGTACTAATAATGTTGCTGCCTGTGCAATATAAAACTGAACTCCATGCAAACAGCTAAATACACAATTGAAATACATAAGCATGAACAGATTTGTAATTGTGTAACGCCAGTAATCCAGAAAACTCCAACACAACCAGAATGGTGACCTGTTTTTTTTCAGCTGCTGTTAAAGGGTATCTAAACCCTCCATTTTTTTTGCATATATCTACTGCTTGATAGCAGTAGATATATGCAAAAAGTAAAAAAAAACAAAAAAACGCTGTAACAGAGGTTTAAACTTACCCCGTCTTTCTTGTGCGCTCCCGCCCGAGAATCCGAAACTGCTCGAGCAGCCGCAAAGCGTCTTGGAGCGGGCGCATGCGCAGTTCATATTTTCGGGCGGGAGAAAAGCAGAGACGCAAGGTAAGTCTATGGACGTGTGCACCCGCATGCAGACACCACAGGATCGGAAGTGCTTGCAAGGACAGAGGAGTCAGCGCTGGATCGGAGAGCCGCCGTACCGCTGGACGGACAGATGAAAACATCAGGAAAGAAGAGGAAGATCGGATTAAGAGACATCATTTAAGGTAAGTGCTAACATTAACATTGGGGGGAGGGAAACATTTTTTTCACTTTAAGTAATAGCAGCTTGGTCACCAATCTGCCCCCCAGCCTGTTATTTGGCAATAAAGGAGGAGCAGCACACTGATAAGGTCATCTCTCTCATTCTAACTGTTGAATGATAGCTCTGTGTACTGCAATAAATCTCTGACTGTGTTAGAGTGGTGCTCCTCCCTCTTCCAAAGCAAATGCTGCTATGGCAGCGGCTTACAGAAGGCCGATATCAGGTCTGATTCAGGTATTTACTTTAGCTCTGTGTATATTTTTTTAATGAATACACAATTTGATTAACTTGTGTTTTTTATCTCTGCCTGGATTTCAGCTTTAAAACAAATGTGAGTTTTAATAAATATTTGGTAATCGTGCTTGCAAAGTGTATAAATATATGCACATATATTTACATTATTATCATCTATGCTGTGCAATATTTAATACCATTTATTTATGATTCGCCTGATTGGCCAGAAATGCAGAGCATACAGTGATAGTGCCACGTCATATTAGTCCGTATAAAAATGTAATCTGTCCCATAAATGCGTTATTGCCTTTTTACTTTACTTTTGACTAACTTCAGGTTTCTCTGTGCACTAACTATTCTGCGCTTAATTTTTCCTAATATTGCTCTTTATTGTATTACCTATTGTGGAGTATTCTTTATCCTACACGAGTGTTGCCTCTAAAACAAATTTTGTTTGTATTTATCTAAATATGAATGTGCGTAGATCTAGTGAAGGACTGTAGATGACATTTGCCTGCAAATTGTATTAAATGTGACATATAAAGGATTTATACTTTCGTAATCTGGGCCATCATTATTGAAGTAACAGTCTCAAGCAGTAAGTGATACTTCACATCATCCAGTCAGATCCAATTATATTGGAGACTGCTATTTGGAGAATGAAAGTTTGATTCTGGTCATTGTAGAATAGCATAGTCTGTTATAGGCCATTCATTTCTTCCAACTTGGTATATAAGATCAATCAAATGCCCATAATGTCTCTATCACCTGACTCCATTCTGCTAGTAGAATAAACCTGCATTGATGTAATAAACATCTCCGTCTAACTCTGCACATTTTCTCGCTTTATTCCTTTTGCCTAGGAATTCATCTGATGCCTGCAGATGGTCGAATAATGAAGGGTGCACGCTCTCAAATTGCCCGAGCCCGCTGGGGTCTAGCATATACTCTTATTCACAATCCATCTCTGCTGTACCACCGAGGTTCCAAAAGCATTAATGGAGGATCTCCCATGTGTCCTACGTAGCACCTGGCATAAACCAGGGACATTCCAGTGACATAGTCTACCTCCCACCTCCCTAACCTCCTATCCCCTAGATGCCCTGCTGGGCAGGGCGGGGTTTTTAGGGGAATGGTGGCCCCTTGATTTTGTAGTTTTTAGTTAAAGTATATGTCTCAATTAGGCTGTTCTTTTCAAACAAATCTACTGTATGTGTATTTTGTTAATAGTTTCAAATGTGTTTCCTTTATAAAAAGTTGACATCTCAGACATCTGTTATCTCATCTATCACATAAAATTCAGTCTTTACATATACAGTATATACCATTTACATTTCTTTGGTATATAGAATAGCACTATCATTTTATGTTTACATAGATTTAGTTATTATGTGCTTAAAGGAAAATTACACTAAGAGCAATTTAAAGGTTGCCATTGCTGGTCTCCTGAAAATTCTAATTGCCTGACAGCATTTGGCTTCACAATTGTGTGAGTCACTGACCTGGGATAAGCATAAAGATCATGAAAGTCATAGAAACAGCTAAACACACAAGGAAATTCTTATATGAGAGCTGTTTTGAATGTCAAAGGGCTTGTGTTTCTGTCTATTCATTCCTGAGATTTACACAGCCCTGACAGATACCACAATCAGCTTGGAGAGCTGAATTTTCTTTACTGCAGTAAACTAACACAACTATACCTTGTCATGGCCCCAGTTGGTGACTGAACAAGGAAGGAGAAGCAACAGACTGATGGGCTCCCCTCTCGGTCATTTTTTTTGTCTCCTGCCATTAGCAAGTCCTTTTGTTAGAACATGAAAACTGCAGCACAACTTATTGGCTCCTTGTGCTGCTTCTCCCTCTACAGCTCTGTTGTACAGGGAATTGCAAGTTTATACTAGGTCTATATCAAGTGCTTACACTAAATGCAATTAATGAATTTTAAAGAGCACATACCTGCATGACTTAGTCTGTGGTTCTAATCTGCAGTCATTCCAGGTTAGTGACATAGAAAGCACTGAAGATATTGGATCAGCAGGACAGCCAGCCAGGAGACTAGTATTTTGAGAAGGAGAGGTTAGGAATTACAACTTTCTCACTCTCTCAATGCATTTCCTTTAATATAAGTCACAAGTGAGGAAGCCACGAGAGTATACAGTACTTTCCTTGCATATGATCTGGAATACCTTTGTCTGTGCAGTAGATGAGCTTCCTTTTGCTGTGCAGACAATATTTAGAAATACTCATTCCGTTGTAATTATGGAATGATGTACCACAACAGCAAAAGTAACATACACCAATGTTTCATGCACAATGACACTACACATGGCGCTTCATTCACCAGGGACCCTGCTCTTTCAGATACTATGAACAGTAGTAACTTCTCTCCTGACTCATTAGGCCATCCTGAGATTTTATGATGGTTAAGAGATACAGAAATCTCCCCAGTGTTTTCTACACTTTGATTGGACACATGGCATAAGTAAGTAAGGTCTTGTCTATCAGGGCTTAATATAATGGTTCCATTGGCAAATTTGTGAATGGCTACCCCAAAGCTTTCTTGCTTTTTGTTCTTTTCGTTTATCATCATATATGGAACACCCACCTCTTTGCAAAGCAGCAACGTATTGCCCAATTCTGGGTCATCACCCATTATCTCCAAAGGCTTTCTGCACTGTAGATCGGGCACCTTCGCCAGTGAAACCCCCTTTAGCTCACTAGGAGTTAGACAGATGATATCACCTTTTCTATCAACAATAGTTTTAACCTTTTTCATCCAATCCATTAACCATGATAAGGAGCATGAACAGTGGAAGGCATTACCATGTAGCTGAAGGTGTGACAAAGTTGTCAATGGATCGAAAATTCCTTCAGGCAGGGAAGATAAACGATTGTTACTGAGCTGCAGGGATCTTAAACTTCTGGACTTCTTGAATGCTTCTGGTAGGACTGTAGCTAGTTTGTTGTTGTTGAGGTTTAGAAGCTCAAGATCTTCGAGGGCTAATAGATCTCTCCAAGGGAAATCCAGGAGTTGGTTATGACTCAGATCCAGGCTCATCAGGTTTGTCAGGTTCTGAAATGTGCTCAGCTGTATAGTGGTGATACTATTATGAGCTAGCCACAGAGATGTCACTTTTAAAATATTGGCAAAGGAGGTGGCATTCAGGTGGCTAATATAGTTGACAGAGAGGCTAAGCTGTTTGAGGTTAAAGGGAAGATCTTCTGGCACATGAATTAGGTTACGGTAAGAGCAGTCAACAGAGGGTTGGGTAGATGTAGTGCACCCGCAGGTCTCCGGGCAACATGTGCTTGGCACCAGGAACAGGTAACCAATAATGCCAAAGAACTGGAAGTGGACCTCCATGATGCACAATAACCAGAGATGGCTTTACAGAGTAAAATGATGATAATTACATTCCAGCAGCCCTGGTGAGCTGTTTATAATGTTTTAGGAGGACAGAAAAATAGACTTAGCATTACCGTTTTGCTTTTTTCATACCTGTGGGGAGATATGACTATTAGTACAGTGTATGTCCAGGCGTTAACAACCCTCCCTCTCTCCCTTTAGAGCAAGACCCATCATAATTTTTTCCGTATACCCGTAGAAAGAGCTCAGTTTGTACTGATGTAGTCACCACCTCCAGAGCTACATCTCCCAAGAGCTCTTCTCTTACACACAGTCAGGGGAATTCAAAAAGAGTGTCATTAAGACAAGTGTCTCGGGGTTACAGAAGTGTCGTTATTACCACCAAATTCATGTACAAGGCTGCATAGCATTCATGAATTTGGCGCAAACCTATGAAACTAGCGCTAGCTTGTGAGACAAACTTTGGGATAGATATACAAACACTGATAAAGTACATAGATGTGTTGCATCTCTGTCCAAAGTGTCACATGTGTCTGAGACAAATTTCAGTTGAATGGAGACTTAAGTACATAGATATGTCTCCTTTCTGTCCAAAGTGTTGCATATGTGTCTGAGACAGATTTCATTTGGCTCCCCACTTTCCTCTTCAAGCAATGTCACACCTGAAGTATGTGTCGCATACTGTGACAGACATATACAATATGAATGTGGGACAGACTAGTTACACTAAAAGCACTTGGCCTTACTTTTCATCACATTTCTTATTACCGAACTGTTGGGGTTTATTTATTGAATATGTCACAAGCACAGCGCCAGAATGAAACTGGTGCAGGAGTCAGTAGAGGTCTGAAAAATGGTGAAGCATGTTTTTGAATTTGGTGCAGACATTTCTTCAGCAGCATTAACTCCAGAATTCTGGCACAAATGGGATATTGAATTCACCTTAGTGTGTGTTTTTGCATGCTTTTGGGCGTCAATGCAGCATCATAATTTTGATAATAATGAGTGCATGTGGTGTGGGGCAAAGTAGTGGGGAATAGTTGGAGTTCTCTAGTCCAGTTAGAAGGGCTGACAACATAGCGGTTTTAGTGCAGCAGGGATACTTGGCACAATAAGCTATCAGTGGCGCACAGATAGATATTCCAACAAGAAAATTAAGTGTGAATCTGTTGCAAAATACATAAAACAGAATATCACCAGCACACCAAACAATGTGGTCAAGTGTTGTCCTTTATTGACGCATATTGTCACATTGACAGGGCCGGATTTCCCATAAGGCCAACCAAGGGGCAGCAGGGAGTAGAGGGGCAGAAGGGGTATGGAATTTTGTATCTCCCGATGCCTGGGTGGATAGTTGTTTTCTACATTTAGCCCTGCTTTGGGCAAGCAGAGCTAAATGTACAGCGGGGAAGCCACCGCTTGTTTTGTACAGGTGATCTCGGCGAAATTGTATGCAGCCTGCAGGTCTGCCATTCTTCATGGGGGGAGGTTTGCCGGCTAGGTGGGCGCATTAAGGAACCTGGCCTTGGGGCAGCAGAGAGAGTAAATCTGGCCCTGGATATTAGCACACATTTGGGGGGGGAGGGGGGTTGGGGGCACATTGAGGAAGCTGGCCTTGGGACAGCAGAGAAAGTAAATCCGGCCCTGCACATTGAGGCAACGTTTCGGGGGCCGTGCAAGGTGACGTATGTGCAGTAATGCACATACAATATATAGACATACAATTAACCTAATCACCCAATGGAAAAACAGTTAAGAACCGACCCCAGCTTCCTATGACGTCAGTATGACATTACATTCTCACCAGATTAGACGTCACATTCCCGGCCCATACTGACATCATAGGAAGCTAGGTGCAGTTCTTTACTGTTTTTCCTTTTTAGAACAGCAGTTGTTTTTCTGTACTTGCAGTGTTTTAACGGCATCAAAACTGGCGAAGCGTACACGTACTGCAAAGACACACTAAAATGCTTTTTGTTTCTTTCATTTTGCCCCAACATACACTTTAAGCTCTTAACTGCGAAGGAAGTATCTTATTATTTGGAATTCCAGTCTGATGACATGATAAGGCATCACATCTGCCTTTTATTCGGGACTTTTTAATATCTCCTCTCCATATCTTCCTTTCTGACTGTTCTTGTTTTGTTTGACATCACCCTCCCTCCATTCTGTCTCCGTCTGGAGACGGAGCTGTAGGATTTCTGCCAGGCCCTGTTCACACGCTTCTCTCCCACATGACTAAGCCAAATGTTCTGCATGCATAACATGAAAACGTTTCTTTCCACTGTTCCACAGTGACCCGTCTTTGACTTGCTTCTTTGACTTTTTTAGTTATAATTACAGGTTAATATGTTCATTGTATTCTGTGAACGCTGAGTTTTACTCTCCTCAGTGCTCTTTGGGACATGCTCTGTGATCATCTCCGTGACATTAACTCCTACTTATGTAACCAGATATCCCTTTTGCTCTTTTCAGTCTTTTTTTTTGGTCCTCTGATGTTCCTTTTCATCTTTTCACAAATCTCTTCCCCCCTAGATTAATAGAGTCAGCTTTTCTTACCTGACTGTCTCCTTTTCTTCTCTGTTAACCGGATGAATTTAATAAACACATTCCCTCTTTTTCTCCTCCTTCCCTAACTGGCTGGACACAACCCCAAAACAGCATAATGAGCCAAAACTCCATCCCTCAGCCAGAGTCAGGATCCTCATAATCTGTTCCTCCTGCGCCGTCTGCTATCTGTCAGAATTTGTAAAATGGAAAGAGGCAATCAGCTAGAGGTATTGAGAGAAATTGCTTTTAATGCGCAAGGCAAGAGGTTTGACCCTGCATGTGGCACTGTTTAATGCAATATCATGCTGTATGTACTGTGACTACAACACGCGTTCCATAGGGAGGTCAAAAGTCACATGTGCTTTTTGATTAGAAAACATGCATTAATTTACCAGTCCTGGCAACTGTGCTTCTAAAATGGCAAATTGTTTCATGTGTTATTAAAGCTCATTCTTGGGCAAACCAAAAAACTACCCTTGCAGTGTCTGGTTATGCCTAGGGGAGAAGAAAAGCTATTTTACTTACCTGATCCCCACTCCCACCAGGCTTCTAGACCGGTTTCTGCAGCCTCCTCTCCCCTTCACTCCAGGAGTTTAAAGACTGCGGATTTCATCTAGATTTCATTTAGAATTTGGAGTGGATAGAGTTAATAGCCTTTGATCAAGACTGTTTCCAAAGCACCCGTTTTCCTGTGCTGCCTATGGCCTGCCAACATACTAAGGGCTTATTTACACACTTATTTACAAGTTCCATAGACCTGCATTTGATGCGAGAACACTCAGGGACATTCCCCCAGTGGAAGGGAGAGAATAAAGGTGCCCATACACTGTGAGATTATTGCACGATAATCGCTGGCAATCCCGCGATTGTACGATAATCGCAAAGTGTATGAAAGGCGCGCAACCGTTTTTACTGTACGGTCGCACGTCTTTTGTCTAAGGAGCATGTTCGAAAACCAGCCGAAAATCTTATGATTTTCAGCTGGTTTGTGGCATGCTCGTGAGACAAATGCCGAACGGGCACTGGCCATTCAGCATTGCGGTCATTGGAAGCCCGCCCCTCAGCGGGGCGGGCTTGCGATGATCGCAAGTACGGTCTGCCTGTCCAAGATGGGCAGATTGTAAGTTTTTTAAATTTCTTTACAACCATCGCAAGACTAAGGTCTTGCGATGGTTGTAAAGTGTATGGCCACCTTTAAGGGCTGACCGCTGGAGGAGTGAGGATCAGGTAAGTAAAAGTGCTTTACTCTGGTCCCCTAGACATAAACGAGCACTTAACCCTTGCAGTGTGAGGTAGCCCCACTGCAAGGGTAGTTTTTGGTTTGCCTGGAGATGGGATTTAAACTGTGTACTGAAAGCATTGATAAGAGTATTTTACATAATTATACAACAAGGTTGGTTAGCTGACTATACACTGGTTGAATCTCATCCGACTCTTACTGACAATTCAACCAGTGTGTGGCCCCATCGAGACCCCCTGTTCAACAAAAGTCGATTTTTTTATCAACTTTTGTCAAAGGAGCTGGTTTTTGAAAAATATCAGCAGAACAGTGACTGCACCCAATCAGTGACATCACAAGAGTGGTGCGGAGGGGTGCGGCCCACACCAGGTGACACCAAAATGATTGACAGTTTTGGTGTCACCCCCTCTGAAAAGTCGAGCACTCGGTCATGGACGGAAAGCCCAACAGCTGCACGAGAGAGGAGGGGACCCAGCAACATACCTTATCCTACCAGATAAACTTCCCCTGCTCTCTGTGCTGGCGTCAATCACTGAGATGGCCACCGGCAGTTACGTGCATGTGACATCATTACATGCGTACGTGTGACATCCAGCCTGGGGACGCCTCTACACCCAATTAACTGCAGTCACTATTCTGGTATTCTGACAGTGGCATGCCCACTGCTGTCAGAATACATTAAACCATCAGGGGAGGGGATTGCCCCATGCATGCTAACAGAGTTGTAGTTGTAGAAAAAATTACATGAGTATGGCCAGCTTACAATAATGCCCTAAAGCCACTGTGACCAAAAGGTAGCCAACGTGCCTGGTATCAAATGATGTTGGCCAATTTCTACTGTCATCTGTGTAAGAACAGTTCCTGATTGCTTCAAATTGCCTGCTGGCGTCCATGTTAGCATGAATGGCTCCAGAATGGTTCATAGATTTGTGGGTTTCGGAATAGCCCTAAGGGCCCATTTAGAACTTTGCATGTACGTAGAGGTGTGTTTTTAGGCCGGTGCAGTGGCATGAGTCAACATGCATTTCCTTTGTGTGTAGACATGTGTTATTGACGCAGGTTGCGGTGCATTTGCAATGCTCTTTTGGATCTAAATTTTGGTGCGGATAGAGTTAATAGCCTTTGATCAAGACTGTTGCTAAAACACCTGTTTTGCACTTTGATGTGCTGCCATTGACTTCTATGGGTCTACCAGCACACTAAAGGTGGCCATACACCTTACA